TTTTGCCATGCCCTAGCCTATCTACCATAAGAATATGAGTGAAATCGAATTTTCGACCCTTGCCGCGAAATTAAGAATTTGTCTGATTTTTACAGGCACCTTATTATTAACCTATTACCTTATTAGCCTAAAACTTTCAATTAAAAATTGAGCTGTTTGTAAAGAAACGCAAAAGGAACGCACTTATACATTAGCTGGGCTTATATCCGGGCGGGGGGGAGGGGGGAATATATCCGGAATAATATCTTTCTAAGCAAATATAAGGGCTTATATCCGGGAGGGCTTATAACTGGGGGGCTTTAACGTGGGATTTTACTTTTGTTTTGTTACTTCAAGACCATAATTATGTCTTTCACTAAAAGGACAGGAACATTTTGGATCTGGTGGAGGCAATCCATATTTTAGTCAGTTAAACTTGTCTGGTCAGCCTTTCACTTGGTTTTAAACTGCTCCATACCTGACACGGCCACGTGACTGTACAGTTGAAATCTCGTTGCCCATCATATTGTAACGGATGACATAATTACAGTCCTTGATATCTAAACCTTCTTCTGCAACACTGGTTGCAAGTAGGAGGTTCTTCTCTCCAGTGTGGAATCTCTGGATGACTCGGTCCTGCTCATTCTGGGTCATGCCAACTGAAATCAAATCAAGCAAACTGTCATTAGACGTCTTCTATCAGTCTCTCTCGTTGCTTGTTCCATTTATTACCCTAATAAGGTGTTCTTCCTCGTACAAATTGTGCCACCTTTGGGTTAAAAAGTTGCAAACGAATAGTTTAAAAAGCATAGTACTAGGTCCTAAGCAAAGTTCGAGTTCCTACATTCAATTTTGTCTTTCAAGATCCGACAATGGAGAAATAATTCTTCTTGCTCATTGGTATGAAGCTTACTTACTATTGCCATCTCCACTCCCAACCAGCGGCTCGGGCCTGAGAACAGCGTTCAGCTCCTTAGTTTCTTTTATCCAGTCTAGCAAGGCTTCTGTGGATTCCCGAGTCCTTGTGAACAAGATGCCTTTTGGACCTTTCCATTCTTTTGGGCCACCATTCCTAACATCAGAATATTTTTCTTCTGGTATCGTGTCTCCTGAATTGCTGGCTTTGTCTTCATCTTGGTCTGTCTTTTTCTTGGGGTCTTCTTCAGTTACACCTTTCTCCGCTTCGTCTGTACTATTACCCATTACACTGGCATCACCGTTGCATACAATATCTCCTGCCTGGCCTTTGCTGGTGCCATCTACTGACTCATCTCCGTTTTGATCATCGCTATCTTTGCTTCCACCTCTTTCTGCTTCTTTGCCAGACCTCGCGTCTTTCTCGTTTTCGAGAACCTTCTCCTCTATTCCATTTTCTTCTTGTCCAGCTTCTTTCGCTCCGCCATCTTTTTCCTCGCTGAGTTTGCCATTGCGGTCTTTTACTTGCTGAGGGTCCAGGTCTGTGTAGTTTTTTAAGATCAGCTCTTTGAGATGCTTTAACAAGGGATTCTCGGGCTCGCCATTCTCCTCTATAAATTTATCCAGTATTTTCATCGCACACTGGAAGAGACTCTTTAACTGTTCATCAATGGATAGGAACTTGTCTTCATCCAAGGAATCAAAATATCTTTTCAAGCTTTTCTTAGCATTTTTCATTGTGGTGCTGGCGTTGATAGTCAGTGCAATGTGATACTCACGGAGATGCTCTGCATACGTCACAAGAAACCGCTCTCCATCAGCGACAGAGTCTTTGTAGAATTCTTCTACCCACTGGCGATACTGCTGACCAGCTTTGTCTTGGGGTCCAGCTTTGAAGGACTTTCCTTTAACCCTCTTAATTAAGGCTTCTATTTTACTCATAACCTTAAAAGGACAAAACAAGTCATTGTCACTAACGAAGAGGTAGCTTATTGAACAGTGATCCTATCACGTCTTCTATTCACATTCAAAAATAAAAAGCAAATATATGCAAACTGTATAAAAGCTGTAAAACGCCGTAGTTCGAAATATATTTCACTCTTCTAGCCTCGTCAGTTACTAGCCATCTTTATAATAATAATAGTAGTAGTAATAATAAATAATGGTAATAGGACTGAGTGGAGTCCAATTCGGTCTGTAATCATACGAGTGATTAACAAAATCGGACGATCGCGAAGCGGGAGTCCGATTTGTTAATCACGAGTATGATTACAGACTGAATTGGACGACACGATGTCCTGTTACCAATTAATCAAAACTATGACAAAATTCGAGAAACGAACAAACCATCGATTGATCGCTGAACGATTAAACGTCGTTATGAATGCTGAAAAACACAGCAGTTTACTCAAAAAAAGTGCACCGCAACAGCGCGCTCAAAATGACGCATACTGTCCAATTACAAGCATGACGCGTATACATTGTCCAATTAATGCTCAAATCGGGCTGCTGATAGCCAATCACGTTCGAAAATTTTGTTATAGTTTTGGTTATAATAATAATAATAATAATAATAATAATAATAATAATATTATTATTATTATTATTATTATTAGTAAATCATTACCAGACATCCTATTGACCCCTTTTCAAAAAATAACCAAAATTGAATTCAGTTTAAATGGTAATCAACGCTGTTTAGTTACATGAGACATGAGGGATACGAAACAGTTTTTCATTGGCTTTGATTTCCGCGACTTTTTATAAGCAGTTGGCTGTACTTTGGAAGTACAGATGTCGATGCCGTTCAAAAGAAAGTTGAAATTATTTACCTGTGAAACAATCTTCACAAACGGGTCCTCGTTGGACTTTTGGACGTAGGCTATTTCCCTTTCGGGGACGTTTGCGTACATCTTCAGCTCGGATTGATTTTTCTTCACAGTTGAGATAACTTCAGCATCTAAGTTAGCAGAAACAAGAAGTATGTGCTTTTCTGCTTTCTCCACACTCTGGGCCTTTCCTGTACCGAGAGAGGCGGTAAAACCTACAACCTAAACAAAAGGAACATAAAGGAAAAAGGTTACCGTAGCAAACAAAGGCGCTAACTGAAGTTCATACCAGACTGTAGCAATGGACAATGTTCTGCATTCCAAATGCTGCCTAAAATTCACTTAAATGATAGGCCTTCTGGGCTTACTTGTTGTTCAGTTAGGTTTACGACAAAAACATATCCCACCACAAGACTCTTTAAAGTTTTGCCTCAAGTAAATGATCTTTCCACTCTTTCAAAATCCAGCTGGAGCGTTCAGACGGCCGGTGCTCTAAGAATGCCACAGTTTAATCCTTACACGCTTTTTTTGTATCTTATTTGCCACTTTCATTGACACCATGTCTTGTACTAAAAAATCTACCTGAAGAGAAACAATGAATTATACCTGTGGTAAGCTGTGTTGGGTTCCAGCCTGGGATTTCAAGGCAAGATACTTTTCCATGATCCTGTTATAGGAATGTTCCTTGTCTGCATGGTGGCACTCGTCAAATAGCAGGAGAGTGATGTCACTCAGCTCCACTCTCTCTTCTTTATTCCTATTGTTCAGAGCGTTGACAAGTATCTGAGCAGTCATAACAACGATGTTTTGGTTTTGAAGGAGATACTTGAGAGGGATTTCTGTTGCGTTGGCTCCAGAAATTTCACCCACAGTGTACTTGTCTCCGAGGAAGGCCTCAAATCGCTCCTTTTGCTGCAGAACGAGGTTCAACGTGCTCACGATGAAGACCACTCTTGGTTCTTTCCTAGTGGTGTTGCCTGGTGCTGTTTTGATAATTGAGATGGACGCAGCATTATGAGATTCTATAACTGGAATCCGAGAAAGCAAGGGGTGGAACTGCATCCTACTGTTCACCTGAGCTATATCGGTGTAGAGCCTTACTATTAATGGTTTGCAATGGTCTTTCCCCTTTTCTTCCTTTTCTTATTCTTTAATCAGATTGTAAAAGAAGCACTGAAGAAGTGGACAATATGTTGTGGTAAAGCGATTTGCAAACACTGGAGTAGAATTCTATTATAAGACAGCTACTTGCCGGCAATTTCAGCCTCTGCTGAGAAGGAATCAAGATGCTGTTTAGCAATTTCTATCGCCACGTAAGTTTTGCCACTGTTGGTGGGCGCGCAAATGATGGTGTTCTTTCCTGCGATCGCTGGCGCAGCCAACTCCTTCTGATACTCTCTGAGCTCCAACTCACACCGGCCAAATGAGTTGGCATTACTTCCCAGGAACACTGCAAGAGAAAGAGAAAGAGACAGAGAAAATAAATAAGATACTTCTGAAAGGTTTTCATTAAAGAATTTACCTCAGATATACATAATTGTTATGTCGTATTGAAGTAGTGCAGCAAAAATGCTCCTCATAAATGTTCAAATCCAAATATTTTCACCTATGGTTTGTCAGGTAATTTCTCAGTGATTAAACTGTGATTAGTTCTTGATGGATTTATTTTGTTGCTGTTGTAGATTTTCTATTGATTCAGTGTTTCCTCGTCTCTTGAATAAAAACACCGGCACTTACCTGGAGGGATATCAATTTCTATGTCAGGCACAGACCCATCGTCTTCAGCACTGTCTTCTAGAAAGAGGAACAGATAAAGATGTTAACAGAGTGACACCTGCTTTGCTGTATTGTTTAAAGATCGTGAATTTGGTACTCGAAGATCTCAATTTTCTCCTGCTTTTATACACCTGGAATATGGTGGAATTACATTTTATATTGTTCATCATCATGTTATAAAAATGTCGTGTAATAAAGTTGAATGTCAAACCGTGAAGTAATACCTTGTTTGCTCGTTAAAATGTTCTGTAAATTTCCTGCGACTTCCTGCTCAGACTCAATCTCTATATGCGACAAAGACAAGAACAATTAAAGCAGATTGACTTTTTATTTATTACCACAGCCAGAAAAAACTGAGTCACTACAGTAGTAACACTGATTTAGGCTCTATCCACACGCAAGTTTGTATGGACGTAACGTTTATTGAAATGAGCACACATTAAAATGTTCACATAAAACGTGCTTGATCAAAAAGGATGAAGAAAATTAGAGGCGAAAGGTAGCTAAAAAAACCCAGCATTATTCATTACTTTACCTGTGATGAATCAATGCCGGCAGTCTTTGCCACAAATGGCCAAACACGCTGTGGTCAATTTCGTAACGCAGAAGTTACCATAGCAGCAGCATAAACCGTTTAAAAAAACCTCCAAAACGAGTCCAGTAACCCCCATTTTCATTATTACAAATTATTCAAAAAATTGTTCTTAATTTATAGACATTTATCAATTCACAGAAAAAATAAGTTGCATCCTTACCATAGTAACTTTAGTGGCGGATCCAGACCTTGAGCTAAGGGGGGGGGGGNATCCTTTGGCAGTGTTTACAAACACAGCACCCTTTGGAAGAAGCTTGGAGGAAAATCGACAACATGGATTATGGTTATGACTTTGGTTAAACTTTTATTTTCATCCACTAAGACCAGCACAAATACCAACAACTATCACCATACTCAATAATCCCAAACAGATTTTATTTACAAACAAATAGGCAAACAAATAAATAAACAAACAGCAACAAAACGATATATACCTCTTGCAGCTCTCTGCGCATTTTCTTGCTTTCAGCAGAGGAAGGCTTTTTGAATTTTTCCGCCAAATATGTCTCCAATTCGCTGCAGGTTTCTGCTGGCTCTTCGCTGTTCTGTGGTAACAGGTTTCCTTTAATCGTAACATCTGATAGCAAAAGTGCAGGTAGAAATTTAGAACTAAAATCGAAAAACTGATTATGAAAGTTAAATATTAACAACAATTTGCAGTTCTTTGCACAAAACTCACCAATAGCTGTTCCAATCTTTTTGAAACCGACCCCCGACCCATCCGTGTCAGCGGATTCATCATCCGCGGCCTCGACTGCGTGTAAATGAAATAAAACATACACAACATTAGAAACATGCACTTCTTGGTTTACACTGTAACGTAAGCATAAGCACAAGCATAAACATAAGCATAACGAATGTTCATACTTGTTGCATAAGCACAAGGAAAGTGACATACGCAAGCGCAATGAGCTCCAGAATGAAGCCGCGAAAGTATGGGACGAGCCACGTTTCAAAATGGCTTCACGTTTTCACCGCTTGTGTAACTTCATCGGTGCCTCCGCCAGATTCTTTTTCACCCTCGATTTTCTTCTTATCACGGCTGTATTTATTTCTGAGATTTCTGAAGAGTGTGGGANATTTTACCAGAAATATTCCACCGTTGCTTTTTGTTTGGTTTTTGGAAGGGTATTGGTATTGGAGTAGATATATAAACCCTATTCATAAATGGCTGCCAATTAAAAATTCTTTTGTAAGTATTAAAATAAGCGCTGCGGACCCGCACATATCGGCGCACACGGTAACGAAGATACCGAACATTTAAAAGCCAGCGACCTCATGGAAGATTTGAGTGGATACACAAATTAGTTTTTGAATAAATTCGACCATTAATATGACCTTCGAACCGAAACCGAAACTGATCTATGTCATTTTGTTTATATCAATTATATTGAACGCGGCAACTTACATTGGAAATAAAATTCGCTGTCGGTAGTGTTGACAGCGTGTAAAAATATAAAATAGCTCCAAAATCGATCAAATTTGTGTTGTAGGTACTTCTGAATGTATTTTTTGTCAGAGATATTTAATTTCACTTTCGATTTTTATAGCGTGAAAAACAGTAAACCATTAGTTGTAAAATATACTTAGAAATGCTCACCTGGATAGTTGTAGTATGGGTCTAATAGCAGGGCAGTATGTTCGAATCCGCACCTTCTCAAGGCTTGAACAAAGTCCTGAAAGCCTTTATGTCTTCTTTTAATCCGATCAACGAGAACATAGTTTGCCCTCGTTGGACCCTCGTTTCTCTGCACTGCTTCAATGGCCTCCTTGTCTACCTTTTGTAGGCAAGACAAGTAAGGAAGCACGTCCACTGGGATGAGTTCCTCTTGGAAGTACTGAAGTCGTGTATCCAGGATTTTTTTCTCGTACTGCCTCTTCATGGTTACTGCTTAACTTGAAATGTCGACTCGAAGCTGTATCCGAAGTAAATGAATCTTTATCAAGTCTGAGCCAGTTTTATATATACCAGCGATGTAAATAAGCAATGACTTGAACCTGCAAAAGACCGGGAAATTCCCCCGAAATTCCCGGAAACTTTGCACCGTATTCCCGGAAACGGTGCCACAAATTTCACTTTGATTCATTTGAGAGAAACCAAAAGGTCGAGTTTCGAGAAAATGTGAGTCAGCCAATCGGCTGTTATTTAAAAGCTAGCTGTATTATCTAGAAGGAATAGCAGAGAATGATTCTGATCTCTTTTTTTTTTTGGACGAAAGCAGGGCAGCGTATTATTAAAAGTCGTCGATTCTCAATTCGTAAGCACTTCCGGTGTTGGCGCTTTCCTGACGTGTAAGTCATTAATATTAAATTACAGCAAAAAACCCTGCTGCGTTTTCGATTTCGGGCGCTGTTTCCAGACATCTATCTTTGAATCGAAATTCGAAGAACATTACTTTGTCCCTTTGGCTTTTAAATTATTATATATAAAAGCTTTTTGGTTCAGTGCTAAATGCGACAAAACGTTCCAACAGTATTAAAAATGTTTGAAACTCGTTGTTTTCTTCAGAATATGCTAATGCAGGTCAACTTTGGAAATTTTCAAGGGTTTTTTCCCTTGCCAATATGCAAAATATTGACTGCACCTTGGACAAAAATTTCCCGGGTACAGAGACAAACTTTGAAAGCCGTGTGGGATATTTTCTGGGCTGGGTAAAGGTCGTAAAGGAAACGATGTCGAAACTCGGAGTTTCAATTCCTGTTTTGATGGGATACAAATGTACAGCACCGCAAATGATCCCCGATTGCAAATGATCGCCAGACCGGAAATGATCCCTAAATTGGACCGCAAATGATACCGAACCGCAAATGATCCCCGATGTAGACCACAAATGATCCCGCCGGAAAATTAGGAATGGCATGGAGTTTGCTTCCGTGTTTTTATTTATTCATTTTATTTTCATCATCCAAACGATAAATGTAAAGAAACGATACTGACAACGTAAACTACAGTTTAAATATAATTCTGATGGTAAATAATTCCATCTTATTTTCTCTTGACAATTCTGAAAAATCAGGGGGAAAAAATGGTCGTAAGCAGCGATACCATATCTCAGTTGGCTCGATCTGCAACAATAACAGCTTAATGTTTCCATACATTTTTATACATTTGTTTTAATACCACCAGTAAGTGCGATTGTGACATATTCATGACCATGATATTCTGTGAGCTAAAAAGTCCGCATCTCAACACTCCAAGCCGGTTTGGCTTTCGCATGTGCAATTTACAGCCAGAAATTCCATACTGTAAACGTGTACTGAATCTGGACAGGAACGCTGATTGGTCAACTTGCATGGTATGTTGAGTGATCTAACACTTACCTTCGGGAATCGGGAAACATACGCGGAAAACTGAGAAACCGGATGTCGTTACGAACTAATGTAGCTGTCGCTGGGTTCCCTGGATAGTTCATGTATTTTTCTCGCCTTTGGTCCGCGCGTCCAAGTCACGTGACCTTTTCTAGTGTGCATGTAATGGCGAACGTCGGCGAAACGTTGTCGTGTGCGTGCGATTCACTCGAAGTAACGATGAATAAGATGGATAAGACGGATTTCCGGTCTGGGGATCATTTGCGATCGGGAATCATTTGCGGTGCTGTACAGAACGCAACTTCCTCTAGTCACGTTTCACGTTTAGGCATAAGGGCTTCGCTTTTGTTCTTTGGATGAAAGTCAAGCAAGAGGCACGAGCAGCTACATCAACAGATATGCTGTCAACATACATTGATATTTAAGCTAGCTAGTGTCTAGCAGTGTGAACAGAACGTTTTTCCGCTGAAAAAGAGAAGTTTGCCTTAATCTCAATTACCACAAGGACATACATTTCTCCATTCTGATACGAATTCTTTTCATCAGTCCCGTATACCGATATCCTTTCACTCTTGAAATTTAATACCGAATAAACAAAGCTGGAACAAATCTGTTTATTTCTCTATATTTACTTCCACACGTAGAAACAGAAAGCTTAATGAAGTTTTTGGTGCTAATATTGTGACAAAGCGACGTCAGTCCGTCATGCAGGACATGGGCCTAACTGAATAGGATGAAGGTATTAAAAGAGAATTCTTGAATGGATGGATGACTGTAGTTTTTCGTAACAGTTGGATAGTTGGTATGAGGCAGTCTGATCAGCAGTTGATATCAAAGAGTTATTTTATTAATGACCACTGTACAAGTTGATTCAATTCATTTCAAAAAACAAAGCTCTGGACACCAAAATTTAACTATGATATACAGACTACGTTTAATATCAAAACGATCTACGCCTAAGAATACAATTTATCAGAAATTACAAAATGACTACCTAGTGAATCCAAGCACTGAACAATTTTCATCAAATACTTAGTGCGTGAAAAACATCCGACGCAAAGCAGGCGTGCGGTTCATTCAAACAATCTGGTGACTTAGAAAGCCTCGTTTGCAAGTTTTTCTTACACAAAAGAATACTTGACTTTGATTGGTACCAAGAGTCTAGCAGGTTGGTTACGGAACGACATTAGAAGAACAGCGTGACATAACAATTTTGCANAAGGGGTTTGTTTTGCTTGGCCTGCCAGCTTTTCTTCCTTTTGTGATTTCTTCTTTTTCTTACCCAAAATAAGAGGGGTGGGGGAAGGGGGTCGGCCCTGGGCACCTCCACTAGATCCGCCACTAAACTTATGATTCAAAGAAAATGATTATAACGTTTTCGCCAATCATAAAACCTTTGTTTGACGCCATTGTTGTAGCGTCAACTGCAAAAAAACAATGGTGTTATTGATGCATCAACATTTACCGGCAAGTTTCTTTTGGATTTGGTGAAACCGATCTTCTCCAAGGCTGAGTTTAAGCTCCATTGGTTTCTCAAGGACCTTATGATCTTCTTTCAACGTGTTTTCCACTAAGACCTTCTGAAGTGTGCTTTCAAATTTTCCTTCGGTGTACATTTCCCACAGTTCCTTGGCAGCTTTTTCACTTGACAATCGAAAAGTGGCAATGATGGATCCTTTGGCAGTGTTTACAAACACAGCACCCTTTGGAAGAAGCTTGGAGGAAAATCGACAACATGGATTATGGTTATGACTTTGGTTAAACTTTTATTTTCATCCACTAAGACCAGCACAAATACCAACAACTATCACCATACTCAATAATCCCAAACAGATTTTATTTACAAACAAATAGGCAAACAAACAAATAAACAAACAACAACAAAACGAAATATACCTCTTGCAGCTCCTTGCGCATTTTCTTGCTTTCAGTGGAGGAAGGCGTTTTGAATTTTTCAGCCAAATATGTCTCCAATTCGCTGCAGGTTTCCGCTGGTTCCTGGCTGTTCTGTGGTATCAGGTTTCCTTTAATCGTAACATCTGACAACAAAGGTGCAGGTTTAGAAACTTACGATGAAAATCGAGAAATTGCCGGATTATGAAAATTAAAATTGCGGCAGTTCTTTGTATAACTGCTAGACAGAAACTAGCAGCTTTTATTAAGGAGTCAGTACTCTACAGGCTGGCAAATTCTCTTACAAATTGGGGGCACAAAATGAACAGGAGAAGAAAAAAAAAACAAATCGAAAAATAATTTCACACTATGTAAAATGTGTACTAATAATATGAAATCTAATACTACATATTATCGCATGCACAAATTACTTGAGATTCAAATCACTTACCAATAGCTGTTCCAATCTTTTTGAAACCGACCCCAGACTCATCCGTGTCAGCGGATTCATCATCCGCGGCCTCGACTGTGTGTTTATGAAATAAAAGATATACAACGTGAGAAACATGCACTTCTTAAAAATGTTTTCAGCGATGAGTATGTTGAAAGTTCTGTACATATATTTTTCGCGTGAACGAGTGACAATACAGATTTTCGGACCGCCATTTGGGTTTTAAAAGTCGAAACGTATTCTTACGCATGTATAATAACCAATTTCAGACCCCTCCGTTTAATCAAGAGTAACGTGAACAACAATATTTATGCTTAATACAAAAATATGTTATCGGCGCACACGGTAACGAAGATTCCCAGCATTTAAAGGCCAGCGATTTCATGGACGACCCGAATATACAAATTAGTTTTTGCATAAATTCGACAATTAATACGACCCTAGAACCGAAACCGAAACTTTTCTATATCACTTTATTTATATTGAAAGCGGCGACTTACATTGGAAATAAAATTGGTTGTGGGTAATGTTGACAGCGTTTAAAACTATAAAATAGCTCCAAAATTGATCACATTTGTGTTGTAGATACTTCTGAAAGTGCTTTTGTTCAGGAATATTACTTTCACTTTCGATTTTTATAGCGTGAAAAACAGTAAACCTTTAGTAGTAAAATAAATGCAAACTATTAGAAATGCTTTACCTGGATAATCGTAGTAAGGGTCTAATAGCAGGGCAGTATGTTCGAATCCGCATCTTCTCAACGCTTGAACAAAATCCTGAAAGCCTCTATGTCTTCTTTTGATCCGATCAACGAGAACAGAGTTAGCCCTCGTTGGACCCTCGATTTTCTGCGTGGCTTCAATGGCCTCCTTGTCTACCTTTTGTAGGCAAGACAAGTAAGGAAGCACGTCCACTGGGATGAGTTCCTCTTGGAAGTACTGAAGTCGTGTATCCAGGATTTTTTTCTCGTACTGCCTCTTCATGGTTACTGCTTAACTTGAAATGTCGACTCGAAGCTGTATCCGAAGTAAATGAATCTTTATCAAGTCTGAGCCAGTTTTATATATACCAGCGATGTAAATAAGCAATGACTTGAACCTGCAAAAGACCGGGAAATTCCCCCGAAATTCCCGGAAACTTTGCACCGTATTCCCGGAAACGGTGCCACAAATTTCACTTTGATTCATTTGAGAGAAACCAAAAGGTCGAGTTTCGAGAAAATGTGAGTCAGCCAATCGGCTGTTATTTAAAAGCTAGCTGTATTATCTAGAAGGAATAGCAGAGAATGATTCTGATCTCTTTTTTTTTTTGGACGAAAGCAGGGCAGCGTATTATTAAAAGTCGTCGATTCTCAATTCGTAAGCACTTCCGGTGTTGGCGCTTTCCTGACGTGTAAGTCATTAATATTAAATTACAGCAAAAAACCCTGCTGCGTTTTCGATTTCGGGCGCTGTTTCCAGACATCTATCTTTGAATCGAAATTCGAAGAACATTACTTTGTCCCTTTGGCTTTTAAATTATTATATATAAAAGCTTTTTGGTTCAGTGCTAAATGCGACAAAACGTTCCAACAGTATTAAAAATGTTTGAAACTCGTTGTTTTCTTCAGAATATGCTAATGCAGGTCAACTTTGGAAATTTTCAAGGGTTTTTTCCCTTGCCAATATGCAAAATATTGACTGCACCTTGGACAAAAATTTCCCGGGTACAGAGACAAACTTTGAAAGCCGTGTGGGATATTTTCTGGGCTGGGTAAAGGTCGTAAAGGAAACGATGTCGAAACTCGGAGTTTCAATTCCTGTTTTGATGGGATACAAATGTACAGCACCGCAAATGATCCCCGATTGCAAATGATCGCCAGACCGGAAATGATCCCTAAATTGGACCGCAAATGATACCGAACCGCAAATGATCCCCGATGTAGACCACAAATGATCCCGCCGGAAAATTAGGAATGGCATGGAGTTTGCTTCCGTGTTTTTATTTATTCATTTTATTTTCATCATCCAAACGATAAATGTAAAGAAACGATACTGACAACGTAAACTACAGTTTAAATATAATTCTGATGGTAAATAATTCCATCTTATTTTCTCTTGACAATTCTGAAAAATCAGGGGGAAAAAATGGTCGTAAGCAGCGATACCATATCTCAGTTGGCTCGATCTGCAACAATAACAGCTTAATGTTTCCATACATTTTTATACATTTGTTTTAATACCACCAGTAAGTGCGATTGTGACATATTCATGACCATGATATTCTGTGAGCTAAAAAGTCCGCATCTCAACACTCCAAGCCGGTTTGGCTTTCGCATGTGCAATTTACAGCCAGAAATTCCATACTGTAAACGTGTACTGAATCTGGACAGGAACGCTGATTGGTCAACTTGCATGGTATGTTGAGTGATCTAACACTTACCTTCGGGAATCGGGAAACATACGCGGAAAACTGAGAAACCGGATGTCGTTACGAACTAATGTAGCTGTCGCTGGGTTCCCTGGATAGTTCATGTATTTTTCTCGCCTTTGGTCCGCGCGTCCAAGTCACGTGACCTTTTCTAGTGTGCATGTAATGGCGAACGTCGGCGAAACGTTGTCGTGTGCGTGCGATTCACTCGAAGTAACGATGAATAAGATGGATAAGACGGATTTCCGGTCTGGGGATCATTTGCGATCGGGAATCATTTGCGGTGCTGTACAGAACGCAACTTCCTCTAGTCACGTTTCACGTTTAGGCATAAGGGCTTCGCTTTTGTTCTTTGGATGAAAGTCAAGCAAGAGGCACGAGCAGCTACATCAACAGATATGCTGTCAACATACATTGATATTTAAGCTAGCTAGTGTCTAGCAGTGTGAACAGAACGTTTTTCCGCTGAAAAAGAGAAGTTTGCCTTAATCTCAATTACCACAAGGACATACATTTCTCCATTCTGATACGAATTCTTTTCATCAGTCCCGTATACCGATATCCTTTCACTCTTGAAATTTAATACCGAATAAACAAAGCTGGAACAAATCTGTTTATTTCTCTATATTTACTTCCACACGTAGAAACAGAAAGCTTAATGAAGTTTTTGGTGCTAATATTGTGACAAAGCGACGTCAGTCCGTCATGCAGGACATGGGCCTAACTGAATAGGATGAAGGTATTAAAAGAGAATTCTTGAATGGATGGATGACTGTAGTTTTTCGTAACAGTTGGATAGTTGGTATGAGGCAGTCTGATCAGCAGTTGATATCAAAGAGTTATTTTATTAATGACCACTGTACAAGTTGATTCAATTCATTTCAAAAAACAAAGCTCTGGACACCAAAATTTAACTATGATATACAGACTACGTTTAATATCAAAACGATCTACGCCTAAGAATACAATTTATCAGAAATTACAAAATGACTACCTAGTGAATCCAAGCACTGAACAATTTTCATCAAATACTTAGTGCGTGAAAAACATCCGACGCAAAGCAGGCGTGCGGTTCATTCAAACAATCTGGTGACTTAGAAAGCCTCGTTTGCAAGTTTTTCTTACACAAAAGAATACTTGACTTTGATTGGTACCAAGAGTCTAGCAGGTTGGTTACGGAACGACATTAGAAGAACAGCGTGACATAACAATTTTGCAATAGTCTTACAAAAATAATCGATAGCCTCAAGATAATTTAATAAGACTGCCATCCTCGTGAGCAAAACATAAAACTTGCATGCTATTACACCACAGCTGTTCCAATTGTAAAACTTAAATCGAGTCTGGAATGAATTATTTCAGCTGATAAATCCACAAGGAAGCACACATTATGGAGCATAGCAGCATTCCCAGCATCAACACTGCGATCCACGCAGGGCTAAATGATTATAAAATACAATGTGCTTGAAAGACAGGTGAGTGCTCTCCTGTTTCTGAAAGTGCTATGAAAAACAAATGCCAACATCAAAACCATTGTTTATGATTACTTATCATTTTACATTGTATAAGTGTAATAACTGTAATATGTTCAAAAGTGCAGCGAGCACTCCATAATCCTCAACCCCAATAGGCAATGCATGGGTACCATCGAAACCGAAAAGACTGAGGTCATGTACTAAACTTTTTAAAGACGACCACAAACCTCCAACCTGTCAAATAACGTCACTTTATTGTGTTTCTGTTTCGAAGGATTAATAATTACATGTACACATAACTCTCAGAAAGTAGTATTTATCTTTTTGTACGTAAGCTGTAGAGTTTGTCGGTCCTGACAATAAGGACCCCAAGAGCTGTTGTTACAGTTATGTTAGCTGTTGGTACAGTTATTAGGCGAAAGGGTCAATACCGCTCTGACCCGTCTCGTTTGTATGGCTTTTTAAACAAAAGAATATTTCACCGTAACTGTAATAACAGCTATTATTCAATTAATTAGAACCAGGAAAATATCAGATGACTTTAGGATCTTTTAAATGTTTAGCTATGTTTAACAACTTACTTTTTTAGTTTTTCCTTTTCTGTTAGCAGTCATAAGTGATTTACATCTTCCAGTGCAACCTGTGGCAAGTATAGAACACAATACTAGTTGGTCGTGAACTTTCGCTTTCATTTTCAATTGTTCTGCTTATTCGAATTTTGCGTACATAACTTCACCCGGAGGCTTTATTGTTTGTGTATGATGATTGACGCCAACAGAAATACAAAATTCAAGTTAGATCGAATATTCTCTAGCGAACTGGTCTTTATTTTCACTCTGGAATTAGAAGTGATAGCAAAGAGAAACTTTTGGGCGCGTACAAGCCCTAGGGACAAAATCAAACGTCTCTGACAATCTCAAGAGATTATGTAGAAACCATTCTTCAGAACTGGTTTTAGCAGCGAGCGACGTTATGGTATGTGAAGAGGAACACATTGATAAAAAAACAAAAAAAAACAAAAGTAGTTACGAGAGTAGTAACGTGGAGAGGAAAAGGGAGTTGTCCCAACACAATGGCAGTGAAACACAAAGGAATTGATTAAAGAAAGAAGCAACATAGATCACGTAAGAGAAACGAAAGTACCGATTTGGAAAATAACTTAGGTTTTGATTCGCGGCTAGAAACAGCTGGAAATTTTCGAAAAAGAAACACGTTCGCGACGAAAACAATGTAGTGGTCTTCAAGAAAAGCAGTTCGAACAGAGCTAAACCTACTACTTATATATCTTACTTGTTCTAGAAACCTTGCTTCTACGTTTTCTTCGTTTCGTATGTCTTCCTCGGCAGCTTCTGTGGGTTGAAGAAATAAACCGTTAGCATGACATATAAAAAAGTAAATTGTGTACTTTCCTTATTGTCTTGCACCTAACCAGTGTCATTCTCACACTCAGTTATCGGGGATAACGGGCGGGGCGAAAAAACGGTGTTAAATACAATGTACAGTTGAGAAACCCGATTGTAAATTTATTTTTGCAAAAGGGTCGATTTCTGATATATTTCGGTCTGTTAACAATTAACTGTAAGAGTATTATTTTCTATAGACATTGATGAAATGCCGGTATTTTCCTTGTTCCTAAAAGTTGATTGAAATTTGATCTTTTTGTCGTACAAAGTGAAGATTCTATTTTTATCTTTTACATGCGAGGATGAGTCGACATGTCAGTCAGACATCATAACTTTTTCTTAAGAAGCAAAAATTTCGTTAAAATGGTTGTCATGTTAATTTAAACATTTTCGAGTACATTCCCGACCTCAGTTCAGGTGACCGCTGTTTCCGGTTGTTTTAAAATGATTAAAAAAAAAAAAAGAAAAAAAAAACCATCGACAAAGATGTCTTTGTTTGTTTCATCAATAGCATGATACTAAACAGAACGTTCACATGGCCGCTTGGGAACTCTCACTCGTGTACACGCGCGGTCCTGGAGGAAAAGCAGGTGAACGAAAATTAACGACTCTCCGGCTGCAGCTCTGAATTTTACAGCATTTCTGTAGCAATTTCCTTGCGTCACTGAGCTGGCGATAAAGTTTGTGAATATATTATTTTTTAAAGGCGGCGAATGAACTAAAATAATCTCAAGACGAGAGATAGATGTTTTGATTGGCCAAGAAATTTGGAAACCAACAAGAAGATGTCAAAAAGTTATTAAAAATACATAGTTTAGTAAGTGACAAGCGAGGGCTACGCAAGTTCAAATGTTAAGCTTTCTCTGGTTTTTATACTGTATGTATGTATGTTTTGCCTTTGTATATATAAACTGACCGAAAGTTATACTGTATAAGCCAGCCATATCGAAGCCATAATTGACAACAGAGTGCAAAAAGATATTTCTGCAACTCGAGCGAACACGATTTGGGGTTTTTTGTATTTGCAAGACAAAACGTCAAGATAGACTTCATGAGATTAAAATATATAATTCTGAGGAAAGCAATAGGCTGGGTAGTAAATGTCTGCACGGAAATGCGACGCAATGAACCTGTCTTTGTTACCAAACTAACCGAGTACAGTTTTTAGCGTGTCTTTCGTTTACATTGTATTTTTTCGGCAAGTACGCTCTTGTCTTGTTAATAGGAAACTGAAAACTTCTATTTGGTAAACATGTTCTCATAGTTTACCAATATCTTTTAGAATGGAGAAAATTCCCTGTGACATTTGCTGGACTGATTTTCACTTACCTTCTTCCTGTGGATAAAGAAGTTCCGCCAAATGTTCACAGCCGGTTTCTCTGAGCGCTCTAATGAATTCTTGAAAAGCGTTTGGTCTCCGAATAAGTCTCTCCACCAGTTTTTGGGTCGCTCGCATAGGACCATGGTTCGTCTCTTCACATCTAATCTCTTCTTTGTCGTTCGACGTTAAGCAAGACAAATACGGTAACATATCTACTGGGATGACATCGTCAACAAGAGAAGATATATATCGTCTAATAAGTTCTCTTTGTTCCATTTCCATCTCGAGACTCTGAGGAAAAATTCGCTTTTCAGTCGACAACAACAAAGCGAAAAGCTTACCAGACCGGCTAAGACCAAAAATTGAATATGTCTTTCGACTATTTATGTCGAAGTGGTTTTTGTGTGACGGTGTTTTACCCAGGAAGAAATGTGAAGGTTAGTCATCGAAAAAAATTTCGTTTTCAAATGCTTATTGTCACCTGCTATTTAAAAAGAACCTACCGAAATAATGTTAGAAATACGTAATAAAACGTTTTCCCGCGCTCAAAATATCCACGAGAAACGGTTATTTTCCCTGTCGAATCAGATACACGCTCCTACACGTATGTCAGACCTGTGTGACATTTCTTTTGTTTACAGTGACATCCAATCGAAAAGGAAAACCCCGCACGATATCCGGGAAACCCCTTAATAACACGCGAGGATTATGTCAATTTCCTCTTGTTATATTGAACCGTACACGATACTTATTAAAGTAAATTTAGCAGAAAGAAAGTTCCCGTTTATACAAACCGGGTTGTTCATGAAGGACATAACACAGTCAGCTGCGTAGAAGGGAATTCGCTAATAGGGCAACAAATATGAATGTGTTCCGCCCGGTCCAAATGTCGTGTCGAACTAAATTGTGCGTATTTTAAAAATTTGAGTCATAAAGCGCGACTGTGGAGCGATAGTTGATTGAACCGTTCGCGTCGAACTCAGTTATAATTCAGTTGAGTGTTATTCGACGCTTCTATCGAACGCAACTTATTTGTAATTATATCTCAGCTCTATTCTTTTGCTGAACCGCTGCATTCTGATCGGTACAAAATCCAAATATGAAGGTCACACGTATGTCTTGAGTTCTGCACAACTGGAGCTCTAAATTTAGAATCAAAGTCGTGCCAGGGTCGTGTAGCGCGACTGAGTTTGTCGTGCTTTCCGACCCTGGTCCGACGTTGATTCAGACATTGAACTACAGTCGCGCTGAAGTCGAACTTAATCTAACACTGATTGAGTTAGCGCGATCGACAGAGCGGATTTTTGGGCCTGTACGTAGTATGTTTGAATCAGAGCGTGTCTATTTTGAATTTTTGTCTTTCAAGTTTCTTCACTTTAAACCAAACATTAAGAGGCTATCACTGTAAGTATGAAAGTATTTCTTCTCGTCATACTCCCTGGTATAATGTGCCCTTTTAGTTTTACAATTTATGTTGGTGTTACGAAACGGAAGAAACCCAAGGGTACTCATTTTGTCTATAAAAATAAAAAAAAAAAAAAACAAAAAAACTTCTCTTCAGAATGTATTGCGAGAAACTAGGCCAAAATGGTTTGGCATAGATGCCGCACGAGTTATTCATATAATAGTAAACGAGTCTTGGAGGTATTGTTACCCGCTGTGTATTGAGGTATGACTGGTTTCATACAGAACAGGGTTTGTTCTGTAAATATCCGAGAGACATCCTCGAAAAAGGCTTGCAGTATAATTAAAACGAGACGAGCCCATTGAGTGTCTGTGTTAGAGCTCAGGAATCTTATTGGACTATCTATTTTTAGAAACTGTTTGACATATGTATTTTCGTTCACGGGTTCCATTTATTTCTCGCCCAATCAAAACAGCTATTCTCGGCACGCGGAAGTTTTAACAAATCCGCATTCTTGGCGTTAGTTGATGTGACCACACAGATCGAAAAATGACCCAAAACACGTTATCTGTGCGCATAGAGTCAGCGATGCAAACAAAGGTACAGCCAAAACGTAGTAAATATTGGCTTTGCGTATTTGCCAGACAAAAAGTAGATAAACATCAAAATATTGTCATGAACTGATATAGTGAAAAATGTTTCCTTTCACATTCGCTAGACTGACATTGAAATTTCACTTACCTTCTTCCTGTGAATAAAGAAGTTCCACTAAATGCCCACAGCCGGTGTGTCTTAGCGCTCTAATAAGGTCTTGAAAAGCGTCTCGTCTCCGAACAAGTCTGTCCAACAACTCTTGTGCAGCTTGAATGGGACCATAGTTTCTCTCTTCACATTTTATTCTTTCCTTGTCGGTCGGTGTCAGGCAAGATAAATACGGTAACATATCTACCGGGATGACGTTGTTAACCAGCTCCATAAAATACCGGTTAATAAGATCCCTCTCCACACTTTCCATCTCAAGACCCGAAAATTCAGTCGCTTTTCACTTAACGGTAATGAACTGAAAAGCAGACCAGGTCTGTCAAGGCAAAAATTAAATGGCCGTTTATGAGTTGCAAGACGGTGTTTTCCCAAGAAGAAATATGGGTCGGAAAAGTTTCATTTTCAAATATCTGTAGTCATCTGCTATTTAAAAACCCAGCCACGAGGATAATATTTGAAATACGACTTGAAAATTGTTGTCGCTCACGCTTGCACATGCAGTTTCTTTTGTATCATGATTTCCGGAAATTTCTTGGCTATCATTGGCGGCTTAAAACAACCTGCTTGCGTAATGTTCACAAAACAAAAACAAATATCACGTATGGTATTGATTCCACTTATTCATCATTAAAATGAAACAGAAAGAACGATTCCGTGTAACACAAACATACCCGGGCACTAAGACAGAATGATACTGCTGGAATTAAAATAACTCTGCAACCAGGAACCGGCGTTGAATTACGTACGCGGGGACTATAGCAACGCAACAGCTAGGAATTTAAATTTTAATTATGGACTAAGTTCGGTGTTTGAGTCAGACCAAAACACGAGCTATTTAGGCTAACTGTAGTGCCATTTCGTCATTCCTTCAAATCTTGTTTTAAACACTTCCCTTGTGAGAGCTTCGTGTCTAGTGCTATATCACAAGTTGGCTGTCAAACTGTCAATCTCGTTGGCAACGAGTCGTTGCCAGACGATTCAGCTAGCCGGCATTTTACATAAATTTAACTTACGGCCGCCATTTTGGACAAGGGACGATATTCCTCGAGGCACGATATTGCCATAGAGATCGAATGAGGCCAACGAACCTAATGATATTCAAAACATTTATATTCCTGACGTGTAATTTGTCATCTCGCGCAGCAGTTGTTCGTTATGTTTAGTAGCTAAGCACGAGCAAAATTATGAACGTTATCCGTAACCGGTCTTTCAGTTGGCTTTGTTAGACAAACGAAATATCCAGCATATTTTCGCGTCAAATGGAGGCCATTGTGTTTATTATTCATCAAGTATTTTTCGCAACACGAGCGGTTTTGTTAAATAGGGAACATCACTCGGATATGCGTTTAGACCAATCGCGCGCGAGCGAAATTATTTGATAGATTATAAAGACTCATATAATTTTATCCACTTCACCCTCTACGGGTTTATCATGAACCAGCTTCCAGTTGGCTTGATAGCTCAGTTGGTAGAGCACTGCACCGGTATCGCAGAGGTCATGGGTTCAAAACCGTTCTGGAATTTTTTTCAGATTTAATAGTAGCCAGCAAAACACCTGGCTTATCAGGGCAGAGCGCAGAGTGCGGGGAGAACTGAGCGACAAAACTTTGTCGACCCTTTAATTGCACTCTATTTTCCATATATATACGTTCTGAACCCGAGGTTCTGACTCTCTTAACTACCCGTTTTGCAAGCTGAAAAGAAGAAAGGACATTAAAAAGCGAACACTTTGAGATACAAATCGAAACGATATGCATTTGTCTCCTTGGAAGGTTTAATTTGTTCAACTTGTTGTTGTTATTGTTGGCCATTTTTATGATAAACAAATCCAAAACCTCCAAAGTCCACGTTCAGTCAAGTCCAGTGCCAAAGGCGTTGCATCTCCTAGTTACTCAAGTGATGGTAAGTTTTTCAAGTGTCAAATTCAATCCCAGTTCCTTCCATTCTTTCTTTGAACACTTTATCAAATAACTCGTTCTGTTCCTTAGTGAAGAAGTTTTTCCATTCCCCTACTTGTCCCTTTCTAATAAAGCCATCCCCCTTCATTCATTCAAACCAACTGTAATTCGTGTGCTCAGAGCTCTTCATGGCGCCAAATCAAGTTTGTTGGTCAATGAGATCAAGTGTTTGTGGAGAGATTTCTTTACCAATGAACTTGGCTATCTTGTCCCCAGCATCTGCTGGATTCTAAATAAATGGAATATCAAATGATCAGGAAAAATTAGTGCATCCATCAGCCGTGTTTATTAAGGATAATTGGTAAAAAAAACTCAAACAAAACAAGGGAAAAGGCTGTCATCTGTCTCTATTTAAGTTTAACGTTACGCCCAATTGCGCCTAATTACGCCGCATTATCAAGTTTGGCAACTGTTGTTGAAAATATAAACACAAAAAATGAAATAACTTATTTATATCTAACGCAAAGTGGACGTAGAACAGAGGTGCCAATGGCAGAAAAGTCTCCTACTTCATCGGCCAGGAAAGAAAGTGGAATTTTTAGCATTTGTGTGGCTTACATTACACAATGTATGCAGTATGAGTTTCTATACGGCATTCATTTAGGACAATGAATTTTTTTACAAGAATGACTATTCCATCTATTTTCTTACTTTAATCCTGCCTTCGTACGTAAGAAACAAAATGTTAGGATCGTCTCTGTGTTTCCACCAGCTTAGCACGTGATCAAACCCCACACCAAATGGGACTAAAAACAAACCATGTATTTATGTTATGCATATTTCTGTTCCCGTTATTCTTAGGTTTTTAAAATCTCACAAATCTCACAATAGTTAAAGTCAACAAACTGGAAAAACAAAGATTGAGCCTGCCGTGTGTGTAACATTTCGTGAAGATTTTCTGTCAGGAAGAAACGTAATCAGTCACAATTGGTTTCTATGATCACTACAGACCAATTTAAATTTATTAAAATTGAATTCAGCCTAACACAATAGACTCCCGGGGAAAAAACTCCACAAACTCTGTAGTTATTCCCCAGAGCCTCGTACTGAGGTCTATTGTTTTAGGCTGAATTTTTATATATCGAAATTGGTCTATTGGTGCGACTGCGACGTTACATGACATGGCATGACACGACATGATGTGACGTGACGTGACGTGACGTTACATGATATGACGTGTACGGCATGAAATTATCAAACAAGTTCAACAAATGCAAACGCAGTGCCAAGCCCATCGACACTCAAAAAGAAATAAAAACAACTTTTCAGCCTTGATGATATGTTTTTTAAATGCGTATTTTCCAGCCTTTATTACGTTCTCTTACTAACCATTTCCTTTCATGAGGCGTCCAAAGGCCTCATCCCACATGGGAATTTCCTTGTTATAAGGCGGAAATGATGATAGTAGGACACAAAGGCATCTTTAGGATTGCGCATAGCATAAATGTAGCGAGGCTTGGTAGCTTCATCGTGGCCCTTGGGAACCATGTCATACCGGAAATGAGTTTTAAATACACGTGGGGCAGGAAAGCTGCTAAACATTTTCTCTATAGACACCACGTCGTTCACGGTATAAAGATAAGATTTGAACGGCAAAGTCATTCCTTCGAAAAAAAGAAGAAAAGGGGGAGAGACTGGAATTTGGCCACTGCATACGTCTAAGAAGAATATAGTCAAACACTGGAAACGTTCTTTCAGCGTTGTCCATACTGAAATTGAAGTGTTTTGCGCATCTGAAACTAAGATTTTGTTCAATCCGGGAAGGGGGATTGATAGTTTCCCACGCAGCTTCGCATACGCTCCCTCCGCCCCTCCCACAAAGTATAATGCGTGCTAAAATTCTTTGACTTTCAAGGAGATGTAAGAAAGAAAAAAAAAAAA